TTTTGTTTTTAAAGTGGGTGGGCAAGATACTGTATGACCCTAATCACATACCAAAACCATCGCACCTCTGGAAATATATCAGCCCTAAACCCTAGAACCTTAAACTGGGGTCTTGCAGGATTTTGACTTCTATCAATATCCTATTGTATTGGAGGCTGCTAGAAAGTTCAAAAGTCGGGCCACCCCCTGAATCCACCAAACCCTATAAACCCTAAACCCTACACCCTAAAGAATGTATGAAGCTACTGTCAGTATTGGGGCCACCAAGGGACCAGTGGGTTCAGGGTTTGGGGAGCTTACGGCTGAGGGCTTAGAGGTTTAGGGGTTTAGGGTTTCCGAGAGACCGTTAAGAGTGGGTCCCACTAGCGTTCTCAATAATAGAAGCTTCTACAACAGGAGCATAGAATACCATCTGATTCTACCTTGGGTTTCTCACCACCAAGAGAGTAAGCCGTTTCTGGGCTTAGCATCGCGTTGGAGAGGGGTTCAAGGTGCCCAAACCTTATCTTTGTAAGGGTCCGGGTACCTATGTAGAACTAAGTTGGGCCCCAAAGGGGTCCTATATATAGATCTCTCTCGAAATCAGGGGCTCTTTATATGCCCCAAAATACTCTCATCCTCATTACGGGGAAGCCGCAAGTAACGACCCCTCTTTTGGAAATTCTGGACCTTCCAAATCCCTAATCTATGCAACCTATTTCCCCGGTAACACCATTAAGAGCTATTGAATATCTATTGACTGAGCCACAGGCCAACGCAACTGATCGACGGTTGCCTGTCTCGGGAGCCTCGTGCAGGTCAGCGGCAAGCCGTTTTCATGGGCAACCCCCACTACCCCCTCCTACGTTCCCGCTTAACAATCCTGAAAAACCTCCAATTTCGAAAACCCATGATTTCTGTCGGGCTCCAACAGAGGTCCTCCTTGTCACCTACTGCATACCTAAGGGCTCCTAGGTCGTTCCGATTTAAGTTTGCGGCAGCTTTTCGATCCGGATCACAATACTAGCCCGAAACGAACTACACGAGGGTCTCCGGATACGCGAAAATACAAACAGAGAGGAACTAAGCTCATTGAGCGCTTACCTTTTCCGGGCTTCATGCCTTAAGCAGCCCCGTGCCAACCCCTCGTAAAGCCACTACAGCCAGAGCACTTGTAGCGAGACCCACATTCGCATGGAAAGCCAAATGGGCCCTACACAGACCGCTGTTCTTTTGGAAAGAGCTCATACGGGGTTCCAGGGTTGTTTGTGGGATGAAATGGTCTTTTTTTTGGATACCATAAACCCTTCACTCGTGGATTCCCCTACCCCCGCCAGGTTCCCGGTTACTCAAGGATGATTATGGCTAAGTATCCCTAATAAATGGGAAACCAGGGGGGGCAGTGCACGAAGGGTCGTAGGAGAATCCATGATGCTCCGGCCCTAGCCTCGCTTCAGGCATTTTTTGGAAGCTTCAAAAATAGAGTGCCCCACCAAACAAAACATTGTGGGTTTTCCTGATCCCACCCCCCTACACTACCGCTAAGATTCCTCTTTTATCAACCTTAATCAAGCCCATTTCCGTCTCAATCAACCTTAATGAGCCTCAAGAAGCCTATTACGGTGGAATTCTTGGAGAAGGAAAAGGGCGGGTAGAAAACCCATAAAAACAATAAGGCCGTCCCCTGCATTGTGCTTTAACTGTTATACGTACCCGCAAAGCTTTATGAGGAACCCCCGAGCTCCACGATTCTGCGCAGAAAGGGATTGCCATGACAGAAGGCCAGGCTCACGTACTCAGGATTAAGTCGGGCGTCTAGGTTATGCGCCGCTTCAGGCGCCACAACAGTACTTCCTGCTTAATGTCCTCAATCCGTAAGTGAGACATGCAACCCTAAAACCCAAACATCCGCACCCGAAACCCCTCAAGGCGATAAAGCTCAAACCGTAACCCGAAGAGTCCGTGTACACATATGGTACATACTTGGTCGGGAAGGCCCGCAGTGCCCCCCGCAGTGTTCCTATGTAGCACTTTAGGGCCCAGGTATATTCTACAAAGGCCCCCAAACCCCCCAAATCCAAAACCCCACAACGCTGAAACCCTAAACCCGTGAAACCCTTATAAACATCTAAAACCCTAAACGCCTGAAACCCTACAACCTTAAACTCCTAATAACCTAAAACTCTACATCCTGAATCCCAAATCCCTAAACCCCAAGCCTCAGACTCGAAAGGAAGCGCGTCTCCCGAAGCCGTAAGGCCTGAACAATAAACCCTGAACCTTACCCAAACCCTAAACCGCGTGAGCCTCGGGGTCTGGTCTGCTATGCGAGTGCTCCACGTAGGGCCCGTCCTTTCTTCCCTAAATCCTAAGGACGTAGGGTTGTAAGGTGTAGGATACGGCTTTGGGGTGTGGGCGGGGTTATCTAGGGTTCGGGGGTTTAGGGTTTGGGATTTTTTTGGACGTTTGGGCTTTCTGGTTTAGGCCCTAAGCCCTAAACCGTGCACCCTAAGCCCTTTTGAAGGTTTAAAGGTTGGGGCCAGGCGGGTAGGGTTTACTTTTCCTTAGACCTAGGGGCCACGCACCCACTTCATGGATTTAGGGTTTAGGGTTTAAGGTTGAGGGTTTAAGGTTATAGGGTTGAGGTTTAAAATGTAGGCTCAAGCAACAAACAGGGAATGGCTTGGGATCCATTCTCGGTCGTAAGCCCTGGGGCAGCTGATCCACACTCCCAAATAAATCTAGTCCCGAAAACCCAGTGTTTCCTTTGTTGGTTTGTTTAAACTTAAAACGCGTGCAATTTCCATGCTTTCTGGGAACCCCTTCATTGCGGGCCTCCTGGAAGAAAACTGAGGAATGCAATTAAACGGATCTAGTTTCCGGTATTTCGCTTTATTCTGGTTTGGCTTCCCAGAGCCTGCAAGCTCCGCCCGAAACCCTAAACCCTATAGGTTCCACAATAGGGATCCCTATGTTGGGTAGGCAGCAAGGACTGAAGGACCACATCAGTCGCTGGGCAAGTGAGAGGCAAGGGCATGGCTAGCATGCCGCTGTGCCGTACGGATGGCGATGCGTCTGCTATACTTTCTGTCAGGCTCAACGTCTATAGATATTACCTACATTAGGCCCTAGAGTCTGTAAATAGTACATACACTGAGCCCTAACGCTACAAATAGTACCTACATTGCGCCCTAAAGTCTGTAAAGATTACCTACGTGGAGCCTTAGGGTTTGGACAATGGAGAGGCGTTCAGGACAGTCATGGGAACAATTTGCATGCGGGACCAGGGCCCCAAGCTCCTCAACTTTGAAGTCCTAGTGTTCTATATATATGTATAAATATGTAGATAGCATATACATTTACTGAAGTATACTAAATGCGATACTATATGATTAGTATACAGCTACATGGTGGACCTGCAAGTAATGTCCGTTTTCACGTGCCGCTATTACTCGGTGGTTGTCTAGCCCTAGTACTGGCATTTCTACATGCCACCCCGACTAGCAACTGGATTCTACGCCGATGTAGCTATATAGGGCTCAGGGAGTATAGTGGGTAATGGCTTTAATTGGGACATTGTAGCCCCACAGGTGGAATAACGTCATTTTATGGCTGTACTGCTTCGTAGCAAAGAGGTCACCTTGCTTGGTTCCACTACAAAAGAAGGCACTACTCAAGTAAACCCTACACCATTCCTATTTCCTCAACCTTGAGGGTCCAAGTGCCAAATAATTGGGTTGCTGCTAAGGACCCAGACTAAGTTACCTTGATACTACGTACCCATATATGGTGATAATCCACTTATAATCGAAGTTCTGTAACAGCAACCCAGAAAAATCCGAGTGCATCACACTTAGGATCCTTCAGCCCTTAAGTACGACATCAGGACTCATTGGCAGGCCCAGCGTGCTTTCGACAGCGATCTAATTGCCTTTCGTGCCGCGGCTGCCAGCTGTGCTGTCTGCTCTGCAGTCTCCGGCAGATGCTCTGCCACAATGAGATTGTAAGGAACGGGGTGCAACTCATCGGCGTCCTCCACAGCAACCCCGTCGTGGCTGAGCTGCTGCACGAAGCGTGGTTTAAGGTTGCGGGGTATTCGGTAGACGCTGAACCCTAAACTCTACCTCCCAAGCCCTACACCCACGTCCAAACTCAATGGCTCATGTTCGAAGCCCTAGACCCTAAATCGCACATGTACATATGGTGCGGCCCAGCGTCAGGGCGAACGCGCACGCCTTCAATAGGTAACTACTGGGGAATCCGCATATCTACGTGTCTAGGACCGTACTACTGACACATTCATGTAGAGTTCTACTTCAAGGCTTTTGGCTAAGGATCTCGTCAGTGTCAGGGTTTACAGTTTTTAGAGTTCAGCGCTTCACAAGGGCCCAGGTGGTGGCTGGTTTAAGCTTTCGGGTTTAGGGTGTGGGGTTTAGGTTTGCTCAGTGGCTCAATAGCTGTACTGTCACAACTTTCGTTTGCATGTCAAAGGAAAGCTTCTCGCCACCTCTCAGGTGATTGTTCCCAGTACCCTGTCCAAGTTGGAGGAAGCCAGAAACGGGGAAAAACAAACTTCAGAACCGGTCGCGGCATTACCTGACGGAGCATCCACCCGTAAGCATCCCCAACCTGTAACATAGACTAGGCTTCACTCGTAAACCCAAAAACCGGCAGTATTATTGGTTCTGCTTGCTCAGTAGGGGCAGTTCCTACTAATCCGCAGGTAATTCGGGATACAGAGGCGCCTGGATCTGACGTAATTACAATGATCCCAAATCCTGAATAAAGGCCACGTTGGGTTTTTGTTCCATAGTAGCTAGAGCCAATTTTCTGCATACTTGACGGATATGCGTTCGGTGTGAAACTACCAAAGGGAGCCTTATGTCAACTCTTAATGCTCTCTTGGAAAGCTCAGTTTTGACGATAGCTCGTTCCAAACCAGCATTTAAGCTGAGGTCTGATGATGATGCCATGGTTTGCCCTGTACTTTCGACCCAAACCATATTTTGCTTGCGAGCAACTGTGCTCCACCGCAGGAGCAGCCGGGAAGCCCTGAAAAAACAAAGGCAAGAAGCTTTGTGATTGCTGCTACCTGAATCCCACATGTATACAGAATATCATGAATTTCTTGTTTTTCTAAATGGTTTTCCTGGGGCTCTAAGTCCATAAACAATACGTACAATGCGCCCGAAATTCTATAAATAGTACCTACACGGAGCCTTAGGGTTTGGGAACATTAGTTGACCGACTTCCGAGGTCTAGATCTTGTCGGCTAGTGGGCTGGCTGTTCATGGGATTCCATCATGTTGGCACCTTCAGTACACCCAAAAGTCCAAGTACAAAAACAGCAAAATCACCTATGTAAGAGCCCGTTTGTGCCAACTGTTTATGGCCTTAGGATACTAGTTGTTCAGGGTGTGGCTTTACCAAACTCCGCAAAGAAAGCTTTTTGGGGTTTGCAAACCTCAGTACGTGGAGGCTCAGAGTACGTGGAACCTGTTTGTGTTTAGGTTTTAAGGTTTAGGGTACATAATAACAACCAACTTATAGCGGTACTCATAACTTATAACCCAATACAAGCTGCTTCAAGAGACTTACTGGTGTTTAAGGTGGGATGGGGCAGTACGAATACTCGCAGAAGGGTTCCGGGCTTTAGGGTCGTAAGTGGGTCAATAACATGGAGACTACTATTTTTGCGAAGCTGGGGCTTAGGGCTTAGAGTGGGGGCAAGCTGCATAGTCTGTCGCATGTAAACTGGGTTGCTGTTAAGGAACTTAAACGAAGTTACCATAATATGGGTACATCGTAAAAAAAAAGGTTTCCTTAGTATAGTCATCTAATTTAAGCTCCTGAACAGCAGCCCGGTAGTTTTCGTCAAGCTGTGCACCTAGAGTTGATGAAGGAAATTGTGTACTGCTGAAAGCACTAAATGTGCTGTCATTCCTGGGGTCTGCGTAGGCCCTCCTGTGTTGCAATTGCCTTCTTGTTGCTCCTGATAAGTACCAATCAGAAAACCCTACCTCACACAAAACGGACTTACATTGGAACACAACTGCTGTGGAGCTCCTAATGATAATCGACCCCCAACATCACGCCGAAAACAAAAAGTTTGGAGAGCCCAAATAATGTAGGAGCCTAACTAATAATGGGTTTCCTTTAATCTCAAAATTTCAACCTTCAAAGCTCAAAATGACCCCCCCCCCCAAACCCTAAGTATTCAATGGTAAAAAGCCCTTAGCACCTCGCCAGCCCAAAGGAGCAAATGACCAGACTTGGGCGCAACCCATCCGGGCCTCAGGTCGTTTTTTAACCAAGCAGATTTAAGGATTAGGCTTTAGGGACCTAAGCAATGAGGATAGAGTTTAGGCTTTATAAGGTTTAAGGGTTTAGGATTTACGAATCTGAGGCTTGAGGGTTTCGTTGGTGACGGCTTAGGGTTTAGGGGTTAGGGTTCATGGTTTCAGGTCCAAGGGCTCTTATGTAGTTGTTCCTTTTCGGTAAGGGCTTAAACCATACTACCCAAGAAAGGAACTAAACCCTAAACCCCTAAACCCCTAAACCCCTAAACCCTAAGCCCTAAACACTAAACCCAGGAGGCTCTCGGCAGGGCTCAGGGTTCAGGGTACCCGACTTACATGGCTACACGTATAGAGTTAAGGATTTACGGTTTAGGGTTTAGGGCTTAGGGTTTAGGGTTCAGGGTTTAGGGGGGTAATGAGGATTAAAATATCTTGGGTTCTGTATTGGGCTTCGTTGGGAAACTACATTTTACGGCAGCAACCACAACATAAAGCGTGAATCATCAGGATTTCTTTCCTTTTTTGTCAAGGCGCTGTGATGTGCACCAACGCCCTATTCTGTACGCCCGATGCTACTCCAAAAAACCCTAGGCCCGAAAACCTGAACCCTACTAAACCCAAACCGTAAACTCTAAATCCTAGACCCTAAAGCCTAAACCCTGAAAAACACAAAACCGTAAACTCTAAATCCTAGACCCTAAAACCTACTAAACCCTAAACTCCCTGTTCGGCTGAAAGTGTAGGAGCCAAAGAGTTGGAACGGCAGCATCTGCCTACAGTCCCCCTTAAGTAGATAGAATATGGCTTTGGGTATATTATAATAAGATCCCCATATAAGCCATATTCTATCTACTTTAAGGGGGACTATACCCCAATACCTACGTAGGGTTTAGGGTTCGGGGTTGTTCAGGGTTTAGGGTTCAGGGTTGTTCAGGGTTTAGGGTTTTCAGGGTTCAGGGTTTAGGGGTTTAGGGTAGGGTTTAGGGTAAAATAGCAACAGTCATCCTTTTTCCATGTTAAGAATACTACAAACCTCCTTAAGGCCTCCAATAGTTTCCCTTCTCCAACCTAAACCCCTAACCCGTCTCATATCTAGGGTTTAGGGTTTAGGGTCTAGGGTAGGTTTGGGGGCCTTAACAGTACATTCCTTGTATCCTTATAGGTTTATAGGGTGTATTTTAGCGGTTCAGGGCAATAAAAGTACAAATGATTTTCAAACCCATCCGCGATATGGGCCATAATCTAAACTCCTACTACCCCCGTTAATAACCCGTATTGTAGTCCCCAATATACTCCCCTATATAACCCCTTTAAGGAGTTTAGATTATAGCTCATATGGTAATCCTTAAGCTCCAAGACCCAAACCCTACACCAAATCCACAATTCAGAGCAGGTAACTCATCAGAGCCTGGCTTTCGAATCCAAAGCCTGCTTGGCTGAATAAGCGCGTGCATTTAGGGCTTAGGATTGAAGTTTAGAATTTAAGGTTTAGAGTTGAGGGTCTAAGGTTTAGGGCTTAACACGCAAAGAATTAGATAGGATTCAGGGATTTAGGGCTCGGGTTTGCGACGGGACAACAAATGGAAACTAGAATGGAACAGGGGGGGGTGGTATCGCAGTTAAGGGTTTAGGTTTAGGGTTTAGGAGTATCTCGGGTTTGGCGTTCGGGGTTAGCTTGCTGGTTCTGAATAAGGCGTGAAGGAATGGAACGCAATATGGACACAACTATGAAGCGCAGCCGCCCGGGCTTGGATCTCGGAGTCCGGAACTCCTTGGTCCATTAGGGCGTTGCGAATCAGAAGCGCGGTCTCCACAGCGAGTGCCATGGTGGCATCCGGATCATTCTCCGGAGCTTCTTCCTCTGGAGTTTCAGCTGGTAGGGCTGGTTCGTCACCCTCTGATCCATCGTGGTCCGAGATCCGACCAACGATTACTTCACCCTCACTGCTATTCGCTTCCTCGACACCCAGTTCAGCTCTATGTGCCGCGTGGAGACGTCGCCTGGAGGCTGTGCAGGCAGCAAGTATCCCAGCGATGCAAAGCAGTGCCAGGTAGAGGCGAGCCATGTCCGCAGCACTAGACCCTGTAGGGACAACAGACACAGCGGGGGGGGGGGGGCAGGCAACCCCAACAGCAAACCACACAGACCCAACCCTGAAAAACACCGCAACTCCCTCTTCCGGGAGTGCTTTGAGCCGACAAGCCTTTTATGTACTGGTTCTTAGTAGGGAATAACGGAATATCTTATATGGGGATTATATTCCCTCATTTCCTACTGAGAACCAGGAAGATTCTTGGGGGCTGTGTAGCGCTACTGAAGGTTCCACTCCTGCATTCGCTTCCCAACAAGGGGCCGCGATGCCTATGACTGTACCTACAACCCAATTATACCGGGCTGCTGTTAGGGAGCTTAAATTAGGTTACCGTAATGTGAATATATGGTCAAAAAACAAGGTTTTCTAGTTATTGTAACCCTAAGCTCTAAATCCTAGTTTAAGTTCCTTAACAGCAACACAATTACAAGTCCATAAGTCCTACAAATTCCAGAAGCCTGGCTGGAATTGCGTTCTAGCGGTTTCGGGTTTACGGATTTTATTACGAAGTCGGTACGTGGCAGGATTCCATGTTCGTCAGGGGGGGAGGGTGTGATCGTTATTGACCTGCTTCAGAAGAGGAAATGTATGAGGGCATTTCTCAGGGAGCTAAAGCCCTAAGGGTCAAAGTACCTCATAATGATATACTTACCCAAAACCTGTACCATTATTCCTATTACGCAAACCCAAGTACCTAATCATTGGGTACTTGGACCCTCTGGGAAGGAGTTCAAGCGGGGTTTAGGGAGTGCCCTAAACCCTAGGGGGGCTTCCATAGGACTGAGTGATCAAGCCGACCTTCTAGGCCAGCGTGCTGTAAGCAATCAGGAATTTTTTGTTCAAGTTACGAAATTGGAGGCATAATATACGGTCTAGGGTTTAGGGTTTGAGGTTACTATATAGGGCACACCATATAAATTTCTATGTGTACCATTATGGTAACTTAGTTGAAGTTCCTGGAGTTCCTTAACAGCAACCCAGTTTAGAGGTGGTTGTATGCAAAGAAAGAAACCAATTTCCACAAACAGGCCAACACTTTAGAAGGTCTCACAAACTGAGAAAGAGAGGCCGTTGAACTATACCGGAACAAAAAACTCTGAAGCATAGAAAGTCGAAAGACATACTCTACCCGGAAAGCCAACCACTAGTTGCCTGAGATGAAAGGCCATCTGATAGGCTACATGCAGACCATGCTGAATGTAATTGGGGAAGCACTGTTGATACTAAAAGCCCTGCATGACCCTACTGTTGATGGATGAAATCCTACACCACCTTAAGTCCCTAAAGTCCTGGGAATTACAGTAGTTTAGGGCTCTAAGTGGTGCAAGATTTCCTCCATCAACAGTAGTATACTATACTACCCAAATTACCAAGGCATCAGGTGTTGATCCCTAAACACTCAGACCCTAAAATCCCAAACCCTAAACCCTAAACCCTAGACCCTAAAACCCAAAACCCTAGTTTCCACCTTGTTTAGACCTAGAGTTCTGGGGTCTTGGCTTCCCACGTATGGATCTAAATCTAGGAAACCAAAACCCTATGGTTTTATGGTTTAGGGTTTAGGGTTTAGGGTGACTTACTGGGGGCTGGTAGGGAATAACGGATCATCATGTAGGAATTCAATCAAGATTCTATTCCCTTGTGCCCTACTAGCCACCACTACGTAAACCTTACACCCTGAACATTAGACCTGAAATCCTCAGACTTATACACCCTGAACCTTAGCGCTCTAAAACCTAAGCCCTAAACCCTAAAACCTAAACCTTAAACTGTCTACTTCCACCGTTTGGGATGAGAGAGTCGCTTGCGCAGGAATGCGCGTGGAATCTGCACTACGTAGCCTTCAACTTGGTCTCGGCTCAATTATCATGGGGCTACAAGGGCCCCTAAACCCTAAACCCTTAACCCCTGGGCCCCCCCCAATGCTCCCCACAAATTAGGGCTAGCACCCGAGAAGAAACAAGAAATCACCTTTGTAGTTTTTTGTGGTGGCTGAACCCAATAACTCATTGTTTTCCTAAGAAACCACTACAACCGCAAGGCGGATGCAATCTTTCCCTGAATCCGGGCTTAGCAGGCGCAATGCTACCCTGTTGAATACCTAAACCCTATCCCTTGAACTCTGAAGCTTAAGACAGCTAATGTAGACCTGTGATTAATAAACCCGTCCTTTTTAGGGGCCTAAATATCAGGATCCCTTTTATAATCCTTATTAAGGGGAGGGGGTTTGTTAATCAGGGGTTGGGGTTACCCTGAAGCTCAAACCACACCGCGTGCCTTGTGGTCTCGTCGCTCTCGCTCTCCGTGCCTTTGTAGTTTTTTTGGCGTAGGGTATATCCTTGTTACAAAAACATATCCCCCAAAAGAAAGAAATACAATCTTGCTTTAGCGTGCGGACTTGAATATTGTTGTCCTAAGTGTTATGATCGTCCAGGGACTTCTGTTGGTCACCTGAATGCGCTGATCAGCACTCTGGCTTGCTGGGGGCTAGAGGACGTTGGGTTTAGCATTTCATGGTTTGCAGCTTTAACGCTTCATGTTTTGGCAGACTTTGGAATTTGCAGGGGCGAGACGTTCAAACATATATACGTCTGCTAACCTGCTTTTTAAATTATGGCTGTTTTACCCAGAGCCCCACATGCACCTACCTATGAACTCAACAAGAAGTCCCTCCACGGACGGGCCATTTAGTTAAAGTTGGATTCGCAGTAGGGACAAGTAGGGCTGTTTGTCCGATAGAGAATGTTTCTGGGATTGATATGAATACCTGTAACCCCAATTGCCTACAGCTTAGTAGGAATTACACCCTAATTAATAGGTATAACTCATAAAACTGTAGGTATCTGGGGTAACAGGTAATGACTTCAAAAATAACGTAGCAAGGGCATCCCTCCTTGCAAGCCCTGAACTCCAACCAGTTGTTGATTCGATTCTCGGCTCCCATGGCATCTAGAAGCAGGTTTGGGTTTAGGGTTTGAGGGTTTAAGGGTTTAAGGGTTTAGGGTTTTGGCAAAGCGTATCAAGAGGTTCAGGGCTTAGGGTTGGCGTCGCAGCAGAATCCTGAATCACCCATCAAATCTTCTTGCCCATTCCTAGATGCAAAATCGTAAATTCCAAAATCCTTCAGGTTCATGGACAGTTACATAGAAAATGACACATTACGGGTCCCATGTTTTCAGCACTCCTGGTTCGAGCTATTTTGGCAGAAGATAGGTGAGGTCTTAAGGTGGTCTTTGATTGCAATCCATGCTTCAAGATTGATAGAACTGCTTGTGGCTACCCATGAGTTTCCAAGTAAACCGTCAAATCCAGATCGATCTGAACAGCGCTGCTTGGCGACTCAGCAATCGGGAAGTACAAAATTAATCCTTTCCTCTGATAGTAACAGCCCCCCAACCCCGGCAATGATATTGCGTAATGGAACGATCGTGATGTGGAATGGTAAGGTAGCCAAGGTACATATTAGCAGGGGCGGGGGGGAGGAGGGGCTCCCAAACCATGAAGCCCAAAGACCAAAACCCTGAACCCTAAACCATGAAACCCTAAACCCTATAAACCCTAGATCATGAGACCCTAAACTCTACGGTGAAGTCAAGGAGCGCTTGCCATAAACGACAGTGAGGACCTTGCCCACTGGTAACACACTCGGGGTGGTACGAAGTTTTTAGGGTATTGGGTCTACCCTACTTGGAGGATTACAACCCTACTTATAATTGGAGTAACCCATATAAGCCCATTTAGGAGGATTATACGTAGGGTTATAAGCCCAGTTATAAGTGATTACTAATTAAGTCCCATGGGCCTCCAAGTAGACCCTACCTGAGCCCCAAACGTATCTAGGCTATTTTCAGGGGTTTGGGGCTATTATTTCACCCGCTTTGGGGTTCAGGTAAACCCTAAATACGTCTAGGGATTCATGATTTGGGGATTCAGGGCTTGGGCTTTGGGCTTTCTGGGTTTGGGCTATAGAGTTGAGGGCAAGATCTTTGGGGAGGGCTTAGGGTGAAGGATTAGGGCCTGGGGGGTAGTGAAATTGTTCTTGGAGTATAGGCATGTGCGTTCACTGTTTTGATGCATATGTTTGGGAAACTTGCAGTTTGGGATGTGTTCACACTCCCAAGTTATATGCCCCTACCTGCACCTGAAGAGTAGGTAAGCTAACGGCCCAAACGCATTTAAAGAATAACCACAGAAGAGTATCGTTCTATCCACTTTGAGTTCAGGTAGGGGCCCGAACATCAATCGAAGTAAGGCTATTGCACATGGTGAGGATACGGAGCTCCCGCAAGGGAACATTCGAAACCTGATTCGGCCAAGAGATTCAAGAATACGTAAGGTATGTTCCATAGTCATTGGCTTCCTCCTTCCGGACAACTGAAACGCTACTTGGAGGTTGTAGGTGGGGGGGATAAGCATGATCATCGTACTTACCCTAAGCCCTAGACCTAGAATTCTGGACTTACAACCCTACTTCACACTGCCCAATATCACCATCACTGTCTGTCGCTGTAGGAACCTGGCTGGGTCAAAGTACTTCCCCGGGACCCTAACCCCAAACCCTACCGCCTAAACCCTACAGTCCCCCCTTGAGTGGCTCTTGGGTATATGATAATTCCCCATATACCCCATATTCTATCTATTTAAGGGGGACTATAACCCCCAAACCCGTAAATCCCAAGCCCACTACCCAAAAACCTTCAAGTCAAATTTCTAAGTCCCAGCAATAAGGCCTTGGAGCGTGTGTATTCAAGCTACAAAATGAGGCTTATGGGTGTAGGGTCGCGGTGTACGCTTAAACCTGAACTGTTGGGTTGGGACCCAGAGGGCTTAACTTGCTGTCTGGGATGATGTTTAAGGTTTAGGGTTTTCGGGTTTAGGGTTTAAAGGGGGGCCACCTGGTACACTCAGCAGCTTCCCCTTTTTTGGAAGAGACCTACAACTCATTCTAGGTAAGAATGAACTACACCCTTCACCCTAAGCCAAAACCCTAAACCCTAAAGCCCTAAACCCTAAAGCCCTAAACCCTAAACCCTAAACCCTAAACCCAAGACCCTAGATCCTACCCAAACTGCGTCAGCTAAGTACGCAGCCCCACGATCAATGTGGCTGTTGAGGCAACCATGGTCCTGGTACGGGTTTAAGGTTTAGGGCTTTAGGGTTTAGGGTTTAGGGCTTTAGGGTTTAGGGTTTAGGGCGTTAGAGTTTAGGGTGTAGGTTTTAGGGTAGACGTCGCGTTTTAGGAGTTAGGCTTAGAGTTTGGCTAGCTTGTCATCTGGGGTGGGTTTAAGGACAAGGATTTAGGGTTTAGCGTGCATGGTTAAAGGCTAAGTCTGAAACTTAATGCGCTGGCATAGGAAAGTTTCCAACATTGCCCTCTTCCTTGAAAGGTCTTCCTGTTCAAGCTGCTCTCATCTCAATCTACTATGGAATCTTACAGTCCCAGCATCCAGTGCGGAGGACTTGGTGGTCAGGGTGTGACTTTGTACAAACAAAATGTTAATTTCGCCGCATTTGCGCAACATTCCCTTTTGCTGTTCCTAAATTTATTACTCTGGGTCAGGCTTAGAAAGGTTTCCATATCACAGGCGAGGCCAAAACACTCATCTCAAGCCCCATGTACCACTGGAGAGTTTAGGGGAAGTTGATAAGAAGGATCCAAGTCCCTTGACTTAAGTTAAAAGTACAAATCATCAGCCTACTTCAAGCTTGACATAAATGCGCCCAGGACCTCCAAGTATCCTTCCATGGGCTCGGTAGAAAGGCGGTAGGCAATTTGCTTATAGTCCCCCTTAAGTAGATAAAATATGGCTTTGGGGCTATGATAACAAGATCCCCATCTAACCCGTATTCTACTTATTTCAGGGGGACTATATAGTCCTTTGACGTTGGGTGGGCGAGAGCGTGGCATGCGACCGTTGCCAAGATACGGAGCCCTGGCAACCCTGAATCTGCCTAGCGGGCAGAATGCTTTAAGTCAAGGCTTATGGGGCTTTGGGGTTTTTCAGGGTTAGTGTTGAGGGGTTAGGGTTACGGGTTTAGGATTGCGGGTTGGGATTTAGGCTTTACGGCTTCAAAACTAAAACCATGCAGGGGTTTTGGTCCCAACAGTACGTCTCAACATGATGATCGTGTCTCGAGCGTCCTTACGATCTGCTTAAGAACCCTTAGAAAATACAATCTAATAATCCCTATATTACCCTTATCAGGAAGAACATCTTTGTTGTTTGGATGGTTGTTAAGCCAATAGTAGGTCCCTATGCTAAGCTCCAGAAATCTGGAGGGAATCTAAAGCTGTAAGACCATCCCGTCAGAGACAGCGCCTCTGGCGACTATGTGTGAACTGATAGTTCTTGCTACTGCTCAAAAGCGGTAGACTTTCACTCATAGCCAAGGCAACCCTAAACCATGTAGTATAACCCTAAACCCTCAATAGTAGTGTCCATTTTCTTTT